AGTACAAACAATAAAGAATTAGAGTATGTGCATTACATTCAAATTAATCTTGTTAATTCATATTGAACCAGCTGTTATGAAATTGTATTTGTGAATTCTAGTTGTGTAATCTTTCATCATGTACCAGATTGCCTTCCTTCTCTTTATTGTGGAGAGGTTCCCTGATGTCCTAGGGTTCTAGAGCACTGACCATGAACTGCAGCATCCCTGGTTCACACCTGGCAGGGAAGCCATATTTGTATGGATGCTAAGTCAGCATCCATACCATGTTTTCCTGGTCTTTATTGTATGGATGGGTGGCGAAGAACCCTAATACTATATTTTCCTGGTCTTTATTGTATGGATGCTGAGTCAGCATCCATACTATGTTATCCTGTTCTTTACTGTTCAAGGACATTGATGCTTCTCTTCAGAATTTTTCTAAACTTCATACTTTTGAAATATGTAGCTTTATTTTGAAAATTTTTCTCCATTCAAATGAATGGGAAAATTCTACTTCAGCATACTTTCAGCTAGCAAAACCATTCAGGTGTCAAAATGTTGAGCTTTTTCAGGGCGATCTTTCAGCATTCAGCATGTTAAACTCCTGTCAGTGATAAGCCTTTATTCACTGTGGCAGCATTACATCCATGACTTCACAATCATTGGCAAATTCAGACAGGAGAGTAATGAGAATCGCTGGAATCACTGAATTAATGTATCTTCTCCAATTGTCCCTGTCCTCACTCACTCATTATGCCATTCTTTATTTGCCGTTGTCGTGCTTCAGTAGTTTTCTGTTTTTGTTATTACAGTTACTTCCGTACGTTTTTTGCCGCTCATCTCCTCCCACACCTTTTCAGCTAGACAACCCATTCTGGTATCAAATTGTGCATCTTTTTAAGGACATTATGGCGTATACTCAACTTTTTTATAACTTTCATACTTTTTAATAAATTCAGCTTTTTTCACAAAAATTTTTCCATTGAAAATGAATGGGACAAATACTCACATTTTAATATCTTCAGCATACCTTCAGCTAAAACCACCATTTCAACTAATAACTATTCAGCAACTCTTCAGCTATTCATACTATAAACAGCTTTTTGATATTTTTTTATGGTTTTTGCATAATTATCATTTACATATTATGTCTCATTTCAGTAGCCACACTCTAGTATTTCTCAGTGTGTAGGACGACTCTTTCTTTCTCATACACACACATATACACAGACAAACAAACACTTATACACCTGCGCACACACAACCCTAATTGTTTTATCTATTTTGTGGGGACCAATAGGAAAATATTCACATCTTAATAGGTTCAGTATACTTTCAGCTACAAAAACCATTCAGGTATCAAAATGTTCAGGTTTTTTGGGACATTATGGCATGTAACTTTTTTACAACTTTCATACTCTTTAAAATATTCAGCTTTATTCTGAAAATTTTGCCCCATTCAAATAAATGGGGAAATTCAGCTTCGGCATACTTTCAGGTATGAAAATGTTCAGCTCTTCAAGGACAGTCATGCTTCTGTTCAGAGGTTTTCTAAACTTCATGCTCTTGAAATATTCAGCTTTATTTTGAAAATTTTGCCCCATTCAAATGAATGGGGAAATTCTTCTTCAGCACACTTTTAGCTATCAAAATGTTCAGCTTTTCAAGGACATTCATGCTTCTATGCAGAATTTTTCTAAACTTAATACTCTTGAAATATTTAGTTTTATTTTGGAAATCTTGTCCCATTCAAATGAATGGGAAAATTCTACTTCAACATACTTTCAGCTAGAAAAACTATTCAGGTATCAAAATGTTCAGCTTTTTCAGGACATGTACGGATCTATTCAGAATTTTCCTAAACTTCATACTTTTTAAATTAGTGTTTTTCAGCAAAATTTTGCCGTATCAAATGAATGGGGAAATTCAACTTCAGCATACTTTCAGCTCTTTCAGCTATCAAAATGTTCAGTTCTTCAAGGACATTCATGCTTCTATTCAGAATGATAGTAAACGATAGTAAACTCCATACTTTTGAAATATTTAGCTTTATTTTGAAAATCTTGCCTCATTCAAATGAATGGGAAAATTCTACTTCAGCATAATTTCAGCTATTTCCATCAGTTCTTGATGGACATTCATGCTTATTTTCAGAATCTTTGTAAATTTCATATTTTTGAGATATTTAGTTTTATTTTGAAAATCCTGCCCCATTCAAATGAATGGCAAAATTCTACTTCAGCATATTTTAAGCTATTTCAGGTATCAAAATGTTCAGCTCTTCAAGGACATTCATGTCAGGTTTGCCCGGCCACTCTGGCCTCTCTCACCTTTCTTACCCTGTCTCTCTCTATTAGCCCCTGATTACTTATCACGTTCACCTGTTCCTCACTCCCTTATCACCAGCTGCACTTGATTAGGCTACTCATTACTTATGCCTGGTTCACCCCTCATTCACTTGCCAGTTCGTTCTTGTCACCAAGCTATTCTTTTTGAAATTTCTCCTCGTTGTTGTTTAACATTGCTCTATGTACCCGTGTTGTTTATCTTCTATAGCCAGCTCCTGTTTTCTTCCTGGACTGTTTCCTCCGGCCCATGGCTCCACTCTTCCCTTTCAGACAGGTCGATGCACAGTCACAGATTGTTTCTGCCATACCCAACGTCTCTCTGTGTTTTTTCAGTAGCCATCATCAACCACCGACCAGCCCAGGAGTGACCCTACTACGCAGCTCGGCCCACCTCGTCCATCTCATCCACCTCATCACTCCACACCTCCTGCTGCTGGTCGACACCCGGCTACTCCACATATTCAGTATCCATGAACTGTTTGTTTGTAAAGTCACCGCACTGTATATAATAAATCACAGCTTGTACCGAGGTCGGCTACCTGGGTCCGCCTCTTTTTACCGCTCGCTCATTTCCATGTACGAGTGACTCTAACATCATGCTTCTATTCAGAATTTTTCTAAACTTCATCCCTTTGAAAAATTTAGCTTTATTTTAAAACTTTTGTACCATTCAAATGAATGGGGGAAATTCTACTTCAGCATAGTTTCAGCTAGAAAAACTCTTCAGGTGTCAAAATTTTCAGGGCGATCTTTCAGCACTCAGCATCCATACTCATTTTCTTCAGAAAATGCATTTCTCTAGTTGCATGTTGTTCCCTATGCTCATAAAATGCCCACAGTCAATCATGTGACAACACAAAGCCTAATAGGAAGGTTGCCAGTGAATTCCTGTTACAAAGGTGGAATTGTCAGATGTTCTCTTAGACTGCACTCATCAATAAGACTGATGCCAAATCACATTTGTACTACATCTGGCATGACGTACTGTAAACGAAGCGAAGTGATGTCAGTGTGAGTGAGAATGAGACAAACAAAAAGAAGCACAGTGCAGCTTTTACCGACATGATGAGGCCACCTCTTCAGATTTCAATTTCTCTCCCAAATATTAACTCATTAATCACTGCTGCTGTCTAAGATGGATTTTAATTTTGCAACTCCACACCTAGACATAGCCCAGATGAGATTCATTGTCCTTGCTATGTTCCTGTCATTGTCTCCTCTACAATGATGTCTCTCGTGCTTGTCAGTGGTAGTGAAATCTGAGGTGATCAAGGTCAAAACTGTCAGAAACACATTAAACCTTCATAATATATCAGTGTAACATTTTCATTAAAACTGTTTTAGACACTGGTGTGAATTATACTCTTATTACAAAACTGTCAGCCAACAGCTAGTCTTCAAAAGACCAAGGCCTCACTTATATGGCACAAACAAAGGTTGGTAGATAATAAAGGCAGGAATAAAATTACATGTACGCTCATTAATTTTGTCAGCACAACGAGGGCCATATCATACTCATGATTTTGTTGCTCTTTGTTTACTCTTAAAAATACAAATATCGTTCTCAGTCACTAATGAATTATTTTCTATCACTGCAGATGAAACTCAATACTTCTTGTAGCTGTTTCACAACACCTTTTGAGCAAAAATAGATTGTTTTTAATGTGAAAATCTGTGCAGGAAGTGTTGAGCTTCATGGATGGACACAGAGCAAAGTAGAACGAACAGCAGTTATTTAGTGACTAAAATATTATTCAGAGAAATTCGTACTGTAAAATGCACATTCTCCAGAATTTATCAACAGAGTAGGCAAACATGGAGGAAGATTTGAGGTTGTAAGAGCAAATTTAAAAAGCTGAAACTGATCAGAAAAATACAAATGTGAAATTAGCAATAAGGTGTGTCTTAGATACAAGCCTTCAGCTAAAGGTCTGGTGCTCTCTGCAGATGAGGCTAATAAAGATTCCATTCAAGGGTTTCAGTAAATTTTTAAGCTACTGTATATTTATAATGCTATACTGTTAAGACTGTCATATTAACATCTCCTGAGTTTCTTAATATCTGAGACTTTTCCCCCAAATCACCTCTGTCACTGTGCCTTGTTCCAGGTCTATATGTACCAAGCCACACCTGTTTTGATCCTTTGACTGAGGCAATTAATGTTCTGCTCTTTGTTTCTGTAACACAAACGCACCTGCCCATCTAAATGCAAATATCCAAACCTGTATTGCACCAAGTTTGCAAAATGTTTGCCTCTTCCTGCCTCTCTCTTTTCCTTGCTCAGGGCTCATGCTGTAACATGCTCACACAATTTTCATGTCTCAAATGAATATCGCATTTAAGAGCAAGTAGCAAATGCTTTATTAGTGCTGTGAATCTGTACACACTGCTGAATATGGATCTGTTAATCTTTCTTTATCCTCCATGTTCACTCCTCTCTCTCTCTCCAAGGACTCTGACCTGCTCTCTGTCATACATGTGTGTGAGAGGGGGAGGAAAGCTGTGAGTGACACTTTTAATTTTCCACATGCTGCATCAGTGTCGTAGCAGTGATAGTGTGGGGTTAACGTTGTCCCAGACAAGAGCTGCTGAGCTGTCCAGCACACTCTGTGGTTCTCACTGGTGAGTTGTGCATTGACTTTGTCAAAATTAAAACACTGGGGGTCTTACCTGTCGCTCTCATCCCAAGATACACAGGTCTGGTTGGTGGTACCCTATTGGATAGAGCACAGAGAAAATTATAGGAATAGTGTTAAAGACTACAGTTCCAGTACTCAAACATCATTTCACAGTAGCATTATTTCTGGAATTTCCTTTAGATAAAAGTCAATTTGTCACTCACGTTGTACATGTGAGAGAATTCAACTACAACGGGAGCAGAGAGGGAAGCAGGGGTGGGCTTGATAGTCACTGACAAAACCTTGGAGTTGAGGACTGTGCTATTCCTATGGAAAAAAAGAAGCATACTGTAATATCTAACATGAATAAAAACACTATTTTCACAGTCACTATTTTCATCCCCTTTAAATACAGGAAATTCAGAGGGAATCCTGTAGAGAGTTTTTCTCAGAGGAAATGTCTTGGACATACTGTGTTTCAAATAGAGATACATCAGCTCAGATATACTGATGAGCAGATGAGCAGTCTCTATATAGTTGAATTAACTTTTGAAATCACACATTGGAGCTGTTGAAGTTCTTACAATCATCATATTTTCCATGTATAATACTGTGCCGTTTTGTCATAGCATGATCCATTACCATCTGCTGTTAAATGCCATATGCACAGCAAAAGCATTAAAACTGGAGCTTAGAGGTTTTCATGCTGTATTCACAATTTCTGAAATATGTTAATGCAGTCTAATTTGTGCCTGTTTTACACAGAAAAATACAGATAAAGATGTAGTTGCCTGCTTCAGCATCATGGTGTTACTGAACATACAGTAAATGTGATCCAAAATGTATTTTTAGATTTAAAATAATATTTCTTTGAAAAATGTAACCTGTACATTGTCTATCACATCATCTATGTGGTTGCAGTGACATCTACCTGTACTGTAAATAAAAATGTAGAGCTCCAGTTGTTACTTTGGCCAGACTTTAAACAAAGAAGAAGAAGCAGCGGCATGCAACTGTTGCTCCCCTTACACAGTTTTGGATGGAGGTAAAGAAAAACTACTAACTGTGATGATTACAGAGCTCAGTCTTTCTAATAAGCACATATCCTTATCCTCTCCTCCCACTGGAGCAAATAGCAAGTTACCAGCACAGCTGAGAAAATAACCAGGAAAATTCCCGTTAACTGGTGCACTCGTTTCAACATGCACCAGCATGAAAATAAGGCCCCAAGAGTTTACAGACATAACCCTATACAGGATACATGGTTTAGCTAATGGATGGATGGATGTAGTACAGTCATTTGTCAATTGTGGAGCCCATAGTAATACAATCCCTGTGGCAAAAAACACCTTCATTAAAATTGCAGTGTTTCAGCATTTTGTGATAGCTGTGGACACATTTCTAAACTTCAATTGTCAGCAATCCCGATCTGTCCTTTAAAATCTTACTTGTGGAACACATTACCTTTTAAAAGATTTTCTATGGATGCCAGCATTAAAGCCACTTCAGTGATAGTTTGTGTCCAGTCTGCTTATACAGGTAAGTGAGATGCAAAGCACCTGGACCACGATTGCACTGAGCAATCACGAGCCATGATTGCTCAATCAACAGTAAAATATGTAACAGATTACTGACTCTGCTGTCTCTGATTGCCAGAATCAGAGCAACATACAGTGTGATCCTACCTGCTAAACCCGGAAGAGTATAAGAATTATTCTGCCATCTGCATCTATCTTAGAACATTTTGAGGGCATTTTAGTTGACGTTGTCCCTGTCTGCTTAGTATGCATTGCAATTTCTGCTTTTCATAGGTACTATCAATCATGCAGAATGAGACAATCAGGAAAAAGTGAATTGCTACTGCAACTACTGACACCAAAAGCTTCCAGTTGCCCAAACATGTTCAACAGCCCATGCTCTGTTTTCCGGCTCCCTGCATTATCACTGTATCCTCTATGCGCAATCACACTCTCACCATTTCAAAACACAATCAGTCAACTTAAACTTTTGTGTCATCCAGTCTCTTGTCACAAACAGATCTCATTTTCCTTGAGGAAGAATCAAATGCAAAAGAACCTGGGACACAGATGAAAAGAAAAAAGAAGAGTGAAGAGGAGCTGAGAAAAAGTAGATAGTTGGCGGCCCTCAGGTTTACTACTCAGGCTTCCCTCAGTCTGATTCCCCTTGAAACCTGTGATCTTTTTCATACCAGACTACACATCTCTCACATTGTTTTCCTGGGGCTTTTTTCTCAGCTTCTTCCTATAAGAGTCTTCTCCCTCAGTTTCAGTTTCAGTTCCCTCTACACACTCCTCAGCAGGTCTCTGTCCCTGTCACTGAAGGTTCTCTTCTTCCTGTTCAGCAGCTCTTGCAGGTCACCAGTGATCCAGGTCTGACTGATTGGGAACCACTGTGCTGTCCTGGTAGGGATGGTGTTGTCCTTACAGAGCTTTATGTACTTTGTTAAGCAGTCTGTCATGGAGCCAAAGTCATATCCATGGGGCTCACAAAGTACATTCCAGTCTGTGGCTTTAAAACATCCTAGCAGAATTGCATTAGCTTCCTTCATCCACCTTCTTACAGTTCATGTACACACTGCTGCTGGACTATAAGTGTGTAGGTGGGGGTGAGAACTACCAGGTTTTAAGGTGGGGGTTTTCAACCCATGGAAGGCATTGCAGGTGGCTCCTGCATTACCATGCATTCAGTGATGCAGTTTGACTGAAGGACTTTTATTTTATTTTTAAAAAACATTTCCATATATCACTTATTGCTTGAGAGTATTTTAATTCATGCAAATATGAAACATTTAGAAAAGCCAAGGTGACTTTCAGGACTAGAATAGTACCCATCCAGTTTATCTGTCACACAACAGTGGTCTGCAGGTAACTTTTTAATTAGAATGGTGGACCCTGGGTCATAATTATTTAAAAACTCCTTTTTCAAGGGGATTATGAAAATCAGTTCAAAATTTCATGGTAATCCATCTCATAGTTGAGTTGGGGCATTTCATGTACAAGCACAAACATCCTCCTCATGGTGGTGCGGGAGCAAAAGTCAGGGGATCACAGTGGTGTTCATTGTCTTGGGGCCATGAATGTATGTACAGAATTTTATGGTATTCTATCCAGTAACTGCTGAGCTATTTCAATCTGGACCAAAGTGGTGGACCATCTGATTGACCAACACTGTCATCCATAGAGCCGCTACCATCACTAAAAACATCAGGACATATTAAACATGATCTTATGTAGTTGAACCTGTAAACCCAATTAATCCAACAACACCATACTCTGCATTTTCCATACAGTTCTTTTTTTAGCATGAGACAAACCTGGGACATCACCAAAAGGTACATTCTAATATGTTCCTGTCAAGTATTTGTAGCAGTTTTTTTTAAACTGTCTTTAAGTTAAGGTCCACTTAGTAGCTTGTTGCAAAAAGGTAATGCTCAGGTATCATGTTATTCTGCATAAAACTACACAAACTGAAGCCCATGAAATGTCAGTGAAAATTCCAAAAAAAAAAAAAAAAGGCCAGTAAGTAGATGTTAAGTTAATTTTAATCAAATCTGTAGATTTAGCAATATTCCTTTTTACAAGTTACTTTTGTTGTACTACTAGTGGCTAAATGTTCCATAATTTCTGTTATTTTCTTTTTTTTGTACCAGTAACCCTGTGTACATTAGGTTATGCTCATGTAAACTCAATGATCAAAGTCCCTGGCTACCCTGAATGGAATATGCCTATCTTAAGTCCCCTGATATAAAATAGTTTCATGACCAGAGGGAAACAAGGTTAACAATCAACAGAGCTTCTATTCCTTCAGTTCCAGTTGTAAAGCAGTCAGCAGTCTTACCTCTGCAGAGTCAGAATGCTGCCCAGGTTTCTGTACAGAGCAATGCCAGTTACAAACGTCGAGGTGTCGTCTGAATCTGTGTTGGGGAAGA